CATGGCTGACTAATCAGCCAGCTGTGTGGCTGTAGCATGTTCACAAAAGGCTTGATCATATGCAAACCAGACCCAACCATTAAATTGACGATGGATGGGCAAAATCTGCAGTTCAAAGAGCATGAGATCATTCCACTGCTGCAGGAAATAGGTGGTTAGCACCAGTGAATGCCTCTGTCCAACTTGTCAAGTCCAATGCTGTTTCTTCAGCAGTGTAGCGAGGACAAGCCAGCCATCCAGGAGCAGTTTTTTTTTTGGATCCAAACACACCATATTGGCAGCTAAGAAGTCTGACAGGTCCACATACTTCCTGATGTCAATTTGAGAAACCAGCTTGAGTAGAACAGGTGAGAATCCTGGACCTGCCATGAACAACTGTTCCATCAAAAGACTCTGACTAGTAAGAGAAAATGCATTGCTAACTTGTGATGCCCTAATGGGAACGCTGCTCATAGAACAAGCCATTGACGATATAAGTGCCAGTTGAGGTGCAATGAAAGTCAAAACAAATGAGGGCAAAGCAGAAACAACAGCCTTACCATGACTTGTTGCACTAGTGACCTGTCCAGACTGAAGCCCCGTCCCAGAATTGCAGAAGGAAGATGCTACATTGCCCAACGATGGGGGCGATGAGCTTGTGGAGGCAGTGTTACTTGACGCAGCCGGTTAAGCCACAAGCGCCTCAGTTGCTGGCAATAAGGTTGTAACAGGTCCAGAGGACACAACAACACTATCTGAGGTTGCGACGCCACTCGGACAGCAAGGGTTCACTACTTGAAGCAGCAGTTAATGACGGTTGAGTTAGCCTGACTGGGAAAAGTGCTGCCTCCAGCAGAAAAAAAAACCAGTTAAACACTCAGTCTTCTGCACACCCTGCAGCCTGCAGTCTGGGCTGTCTACATTTTGTCGTGACGGCTTTTGAACACCTTTCCAGAAGAACATTTTTTGGTTAAAGAATTTTTTACCTGAACAATTTCACCACAGTGGTGGTATTTACATTAGCTTTTACTTGACTGAATTCAGAGAGGTCATGTTTCATTAGGGGAAACTGTGTTCAGTGACCATCTGTTAAGAAAAAAGGGACAGTTCTTTTTCCCAGACACTACACAATTTCATCACTATTACAGTCATTCTGATGAAATACTAAATTGTAATTACTTTTGCAACACTCACTATCAGTTTACAATCTATAGTGATGTAACATTGCTTTCTACACTGATCGAGTCTGTCAAAACATATTCACAATTAAGGGAAATAAGAACATTTTCAAAGTGAAATGAAGCCAATCTACTATTTTTTGGACAGTGATTGCACAGTGGCACTTGGTGAGTTAATTGAGTTGGCAGGTGCATTCACTTCTGTAAGACTGCTTGAACTGTTGTAAGCACTATCATCACAGATGTCATTTTCTTTACATCATGCCAACAAGTCTTTCCGATTTGGGGTAAGTTTGATGCTTTCTTGCTGGTACAGTGCACCATTTTCAGTCAACCAACCGCTGCTTTAAACACTTTGGATAGTCTTATGGATGGTCTCAAGGACTTTGCTCTTGTATTTTAACCTCCTCTGAGGTTGCACTTTGATAGTGTCCATTTCATTTGATTATCTTGGTAAAATATTCAAGGTATTAAAAACATCACCACGGACATTCATGACATTGCCATGAATTTTAAATGACTTTCCTCCAGCCGCTTCATGTACCTTTTGAACGACCTTTGGTAGTGATAGAAATCTGCACTTTAGTTTTGTCAAGTTTAAACGTTCAGGTTTATATGAAAAAGTCATTTTACTTTGAACTGCATATGGAGGGACTTCATTGAACTCAAGGTGACTAACACAGGGTAACAGCATAAAGCGATGATGCATGATGGCATTGCTTAAAAAGATTGAGAAATATGCGTTGATCTAATAATGCAAAATTGGCAGTCAATCCTCTTTATTATGCAAGTTTTAGCCTTGTCCTGTATCCAAAGTTTATATAAATTGACTGCAATTTCTTCACACCTCAGGTATTCATGTGATACCAGCAGCATTTGTTCCTTCTGAATAATCTCAGCTGCATGAGGAAATTACTCAATGCAACTAAACAAATATGGATGAAACATGATTGACTCTACAAACAGTTTCAAGTTTATGGTCTCCTCTGGAGCATGCTCTGTTTCTAGTATTCAATCTCAGACAAAATGTCGGCAAGAGGGAGTTTAGGTTTAGTTAATTTCTTTTGCACTTGCTTCAGTTACTGTTCTTGAAGGTCCACCTGTTGGTTTTGCCTTTGTTTTAAATGTTCAACTCATGCTAAACAGGCCTCTCAGGGTTGATTCTCTTCTCGTTGTGCTGCCAATTTATCATGGCCTAAATTGAGATTAAGAACGCAGTCAATATTGAATTGATCTCACCAAGGAGCTGCAGATCTGGAAACAAAATGTAGTTGACAATCTCTAGCATTATTCAAGATTTTCTTTATGAGATCTACCATCCTTGTTGTATGCTCAGTTCTTCATCTTCTAGGCCTTGGTTCTTACAGCTACTGGAGTTTGATACAAGTGGATTCCTTTATGTCAACAACTCAAATGAGGCACATTGGCATTTTAGAAGGTAATGTATTGGCGTAGGATTCACCAATATGGCAGACATTCTCAAGTTATACCTTAAGTTGCATGGATGCAAAATGAAAATACAGGTTATACTCTAAGGACTCAGGCAATCAGTCATTTGCATGACGTGGCAATAAGTACAAATATAACAAATAAAAATACTGTAGTAAACGTGGCCCATAAAATTTCTTAACTTTACAAAAAATGAAAACTTGACATAATTTCAAGGTATACACAATCACCACACATCTGTGATATTAGGAAAATTACTGAGTGTGTTTTTAATGATTTAACTTACTTGGAGACAGACGTACTGAAACAAGACAGCCTAGCCTTTACTAAGTGCTTTGTATGTGGGGCTTACTTCATTTGGATGGTGTCTGCGAATCACTTTGGGTGGTTTGACAAGATTGTTTTTTTTGTGTGAGCAATGGTTTCAGGATCATTTGTTGTCTTCTATGTCTTCTCCGTCTTCTCTTACTACTAGCAGTGCCCAATATGGGTAGGTTTTCCTCCTTTGACTAACTTCACCTTCTAGCTGTTTTACCTTTTGCCCTACTTTGTTTTGTTTTGTATTTGGCTTCTGGAATCTTCAGAGTCTCTGTTACAAGTTAAAATTGAGGTCTAGTACTGCAAACAAAATGCTTTCTATGAAAAGGTCATGGCTGCAATAGAAAGAAAAAGCCATCATTAAATTTCAGTACAGCAACTTACAAGACCACTGTGGAACTAGGAGTTGCCAATAGCAAGTCAACTGCTGTAAGGTGTTTTATGAAATACATGTGAGGGATATTCCCAAAATCCTTTTCAGCTGAAAAATTTTGTATGTTATACTATACCATAAATAAACCAACATAAAATATCTCTGATATCAAACTCAGTGTGGTGACAACATACAGCTGTAGGTCACATTAAGCTGAGGTTCATTAAAATATACACCAATAGAGACAATTGCTTCCATGAAGACACCATGGGATAAATTAAATTAAATAGCATGGCCCCACTCTTAATTTTTAAAAATAATGAATGACTATTAAAAACAATATTATAATTAAAAAGTGAACTTTCCACCATCCAACTTTTCTTTTGAAATACTAAATAAGGTAGCCCCCATGTATCTATAAGAACTGTTATGTTATTACAAACAAGCAAGATATCCTCTCTTGTCCTTGTTCAACACTATAACCCTACGGCATACAGGTACAAGGGTTTCTTTGTTATTCTGTTCTGGTGCCTAGATTTTGGAATGAACTTCCATTGGATATTTGATCAGTCAGTGATCTGTCTTTTCAAACACCTCTTAACCCTTTCACTCCTGGGGGCCTTATGGGCCTGAATGCCTGTTATTCCTGGAGCTAATTAGAGTTGTCACACAAAATATTCATCAAANAAAATAACCATATGCCCCAAAGGTTTTTATGCTTGAGTCCCTCATCCACACCCTGAAATCCAATAACCTTCCCTCGGGCACATGTGGGTATGGATATTTTCTGAAACTACACAACCCTCAGTGATCAAGACTAGCTGATGATGGTGATTTTTTTAGTTTGATATGATATTTGTTCTCAGTTTTTTTCAAGCATATGAACCTTGATCTGATGTAAATACTCAATCATGCTAAGCAATGACAAATATTTGTAAACGGATTGAGATCAGGCAATCTTTCATTTGTTTGCTTCAGAGCTTGCCAAGAATTAAAATGTCCTTAACATTTTTATTATCAAGCTACGATTTCACTTATCAAGTATTTTGATTTTGAAAGAAGAAACCTATCAACACTGGAGATAGACAATTTAAAATATTAACCTTATATAACACACCTTTCTTTTGCAGGCCACTTCATCTTTTGGCTCATGACTGTACTTTTAAAGACAACTCTCATGGCTACCTGCACATTTTTCTTCTAATGCTTTGGATTTTGCATTCGTTACTTGACCATCTCCCTGAGGAGATAAAATGATAATATTTAACCCTTTCACTCCTGTGGGCCTTATGGGCCTGAATGCCTGTTATTCCTGGAGCTAATTAGAGTTGTCACACAAAATATTCATCAAAATCTAAAACATGCATGCTCAGTAGAATTTGGGGCCCTTATAGACAGAACTGTATAGTGGAAATTATTGTGGAAACATTGTTCTTCTTTATGGAAAGCTGAAAATACACACACACAAAAAGCTGTTGAAGTACAGTCGCTCGAAACTTCATGTTCATTAAAAATTTGAATTTACCGCCATTACCGTGGTCTGAGTTCCAAACTTCTGGGTCAAAAGGCCAAATGACAAGGTTATCACTTCTAAATGTACAATGGAGAGAAAATAAATGGCTTGTTCAGTTCCTGTTGTATCTTTAAATGTTTTGCTTAGTCAATATATCAGAAATAGCAAATTATAAAATGAATTTCAATGTTCAATCATCTTCACTGTGATACTTGACGAAGCACCGCACTTTACATAATGCAACACCACACTGTTGGCACTTATTTTTCGTCTCCACTGGATAGCCTTTCGGGGTTTTTCGGCCAGCAGATTTGCACTGTACACATTCTTTCTTTCTGCCTTCCATTTGAACCGATTGGTGGTCTTGTCTTGGCTCTTGGACAGGCACTTGGTTGGCTGGTCGCTTTCTATACGAGTAGTTGTTTATCAAGCGCTTTCCTAACTCCAACCGAAAAGCGGCTTGTGGTCGTTTTCGCTGACGGTTTCTTCTTCGGTGTTCGCATTCCAGAACATATCCATTGCAAGCAGCAACATTGAAGAGGAACCAAAAGATGTATCGGTACCACTTTCGCGACTGTCTTCCAACAGTGTAATAAGATCGAAACTGATCAGCGCGATCTACACCACCCATGTTTGCTGTGTAGACATCCGAGACACGTGGTTTTTGAATGTTGATGTTTCTTCCATTCTTGCGCTGCATGGTCCGAGAAGGCTCTTCTGGTGAAACGTTTGTTGACAAAAATGCCACGTCTCGCTTGTCATGCCATTTTACAAATAAAAGGTTCCCTCTTTGCCGCGTAATCCTTTGCCCTGGCTCCCGAAGTCTATTCTTAGCACATCGCGGCAGCTCTTTGCGTGTGCATCTTACCGTCGAACAAGCGTATGTTTGTTGAGCAAGTAAATGATCTAAAAGAACAGGGCTAGAAAAGAAATTATCGAAAAAACGTGATGGTTTCTGTTGAAAAACGGACGGACCATATGCATTACAACATCATATCCCAGCCCGTGTCGCCCTTTGAATCTCCTTCGCTTCCTAAATAAACAGAAAAATTTACAACGTAACCGTTTGAGGAATCAGCCGCCATCCACATTTTATTCCGTATTTTGTCAGTTTAGCCGGTAAATATTGGCGAAATGATAGTCTTCCTTTAAACGCTATCATTCCCTCGTCGACAGAAATGTTTTTTGTTGGCAAATAACAGCGCTGAACATTTCTCAAAACGGCAGTTAAAGTAGGGCGGCATTTGTAAAGCCTGTCAAAATTTGCTTCTCCACGTGCGGGTTCCCGACTTGTATCATTTAGATGCAAAAATTGGCTAATTTCTTTGAATCTGTTCTTTTCCATGACTCGCTTTATTCCCTCGTTGCCCAGTAATCAGCGACTTTGGGAAGAATATTCATCCCCATGATAACGCACATTCCAAAGTAAGCTTTCACTTCGGCTTTGGTTACGTCACGCCATCGACCAAGACGTTCGTTGTCGGTTAACATTTGGTGAGCATAGCGGTTTGTCTCCTCCACGATTTTGTCGAAAAGATCCTCACCAAACATGAATGTAAAAAAATCATCAGCTTTAGGGTCGGCTCCAACGTCTACAACAATTCCTGATCGTGCTGAAAATTCATCAACAGCGATGTTACTGAGGTCATCCGTCCATTGTTGTTCTTCTTCTTCGTCACTCTCAGCGGCTTCTTCATCGCCATTTTCTTCATCAATTTCCTCGCCATCTTCATCGATGCCTTCGAAATCAATATCAGAACTATCTCCATCAATATCTCCAGTGTCTTCTTCATCGGAATCTCCGAAAATTGCCCTGTATTCATCGAAACTAACATCTAAAGGATCTACTCGCCTCGCCATTTTCCCACTTAGGTTGTTATCAATTTGGAGTTGATAGAGCGAATTCCTTCCACAGAGGAAGTGTCTTTGCTTTATCAACTCCAAGTTGATAATAAACTATGTGGTTTTCGCACATGAACGACAATGTTCTCACATTTCTTTAACAGAAATTGTTTTTCACTGTTGCCATGTTTGCGCGCTTTGTTCGTCATGGAAGACAAAATTTGCATCCCTCTATCTCTTCCTAGGGAGGCCTTTGTTATGCGCAGTAACTGCAATATGATTGGTCAATATCTCAATAACAATAGAAAAATATTTGGTGAGCATATATTCTTTATTAGGGGAGGGGAGAGAAGCCGTAAACAATGACGTTTTTTTTGGCCGGTTCAGGAATAGTAGTGTGTTTCCAGCCGGCCGGTTTTGGCCGGTTCAGGAGTGAAAGGGTTAATTTGTAATTTCTTATTGTTGGGAGTAGTAGTTTAAAATTTATGTTTATGTTAAGGTTCCTTATCTCTTAAGAGGTGTTTCACATCTCAGGCAGGGATTTGGACATCATTTAAACAGGCAATTGTGGAAGTTCCTTCTCCCACAGAGCTATCAGAGGTCAAATGAGGGAGCAACCAGTGGCAATCGGTTTGGATTACTATCCCCAAAATGTCTACTGTGTAGAGAGCTGACCAAGTGCACATGCAAAGGGTCCTGCTTGTGCTGCTGAATATGCTAAAGAAAAGTTGAAGCACACGTCATTGTGTAAATGTGACTGCCCAGAGAGCAAATCTTAGTGTGAGGGGCATTTTGAGGATTTCAGCAGCACCTATAAGCATTCCTGATATGATCAGATTTAATGTACTAAAAGACGCAGCGAATTTTCAGCTTTTCTGCTTCAAATTTTTTTTGCCTGTGTTATTGGCCAAGGGAGGAATTGATACTAGTATTGTGATGTGGATTTGTCAATGCTATTTTAAATGCAATCTTAAATAAATTAGCAAAATGCATTAACAAGGGATTCAAATCAAGATAAAAATTCAAAGTTTGTTTTAAAAAAGTGGTAAAATAACTGTTGAAAATTGTAGCACAGGTAGGCCAAATCTTGATTTCAGTCAAAAATTGACATGGGCACTCCTCCTAATATCATTTGGTAGGGTGTAAGCTAATTCGCCTTAATCACAGCCTGCCATCTTGATTTTTACATCACAGCGTTTGACACCAAACCAAGGCCACACATGGAAAATGTAAAGAATCATGGCTGATAAGCAAGGTGAAAGTTCTACCGATTTTTTGGCACAAAATCTTCATACTATACCAAAATTCAATAATGCTTTTATTGCAAAATTTGCGTCAGACCATCTTCCGATCAAGACAACACTGACAAGAGGATACAAATTCTTCCACAAGTCAAGGACTGACACCAACTTAATGAAGTATCGTCAAATTGCCTCAAACTTTAAGCAAGTCTGCTTCAGAAGAAAGGATCACAAAATGCTTTCAGCCAGGCTTCTGAACAGCAAATTTGTGCAAACAGCAGCAATGACGTATGGTATAGAGCACAAGGAAGAAGCAGCTTGACAATATTCCCAGCAGTTTGGCAGAAATGTTTTTCCAATGGGCTTTGTGATAAATCCTTCCCTTCCACTTCTAAGCTGTAGCCCAGATAGACGGGTTTGTGATGCTACAGAAAATCCTTCATGAGGTCTGCTGGAAATTAAATGTTCCATGTCTGACTATTTGTCAGGCCTTAAGTTTTTAAAGGTAAACGAAAGAAGTGGTACCCATAGCTTAAAAAAGACCCATTGCTCATTATTATCAAGCCATGGGTTGTAGGACTAACAGGTAGTGCATGGGAGGATTGTTTTTGTTTAATGCTGCTAGGAGTGTCTTTGTGAGAGAATTTACTGATGCTGATTATTTGCTTAACATGTATTATTTCAACTTTCATTTGTCTTCTGTAGAGTGAACATTAATGATGAACAATAACTGTACTATAACTAATAAGGGACAAACCATTTAACATCTTGATGTACAAAGTTCACTTTTATCAACTTAATATATATATTTTAAAGACTACAAAGTTTATGAAGTGCACAACCACATTTAACTTCATGTGAAAACATTTCAGTTTACTGTTCATGAAATAAGGGCCCCCGAAAGTTGGTTATAAAACAAGCTACAGTCTACATCTGATTTATGCTTCCTGCAACAGTGAGGGGGATTACCTGATCAAAGTAATGAAACTCTAACTCTCCTAATCACCCTTTCAACATGAACATGTAGGTGGTGTATTTTTTTGCTTTCTTGGAGATCATTTTTAGAAAACCAGGGTTATCAAAATGATTTGAAGTAGCAGGAGAAATGTTGAGAGTAGACGGCACTGGGGGCCGGAGGCCCCCCAGCGTGTGGGGGGTCTGGGGGCCACATAGGCACCCAGCGGGCCACAGGGGCAGCGCCCCTGTTGGGGGCTCAGGGGGCGAAGGCCCCGGGAGCAAAATGGATTTGAAATTTTTACGCTAACTGAAATTGCCTCTCCTCAGAGCATTTTCTAACAAGTAAAAGTCTTGCTTCCCAGAAGTAAAACAAGTACCATGACTAATCAGTTTCATTGTATTTTTATTCTCTGGGATAGTATGACTTTAACCTCTACAAATGTTGATTTTTAAGTTCCTGTTTCATATTACTTGATTACAATGTCCTATGAAGGTAACCACCATACTTGAGCATTCTGTTTCCACTTCAAAACAATCTGTCATTGATTTTGAAATTAGATCAGCAGGAATCATTTTTAGGGATACAGACCTGCTGTTACAAAAATTAGATAAGAACAATTACTTTACTCATATAATTAATATATTCTTCAACCAAATAATATATCACTTCTAATAAAAAATCACAATCAGTATAACTAATTATGAAGTAATACTATTACTTCAATCAATTTCAATGTTCCTAGAAAGGATTTATTAAAACACCACAAGGAGTATGATTTTCTGCCAGAAGGGAGTCTCAAAACTCATCGTCACTACCACAATAACTTTCAAATGCTGAGTCATAAGCATTATCAGGCTCAGGAAGGCCAATTGCAGTGGCAACTGCTGCTGCTGCTTCTTCTGCAGCAGCCGTCTCATTCTCCTGGGGGCTTTCATCTTGAGTGGTAGCTTCAGCTCCTTCCTCATCATGTTCTCCATCGTCACCTTCACCTAACTCTTCATGGTCATTCAGAGTTTCCGCCTCTGACACTTCGAGCTCAGACGATTCCAAATTCACTTTGGGTTGAGATATAGTTGCTCTTTTCAACTTTTTCCTTGGCTTCTGTTTAAGTCAGTTATCTACTGCAGCTTTGACAACATCACCACATTTGTCATTTTCTGGAGCATTAATAGAAACTTGCATGAGTACATTCAACATCCCATTACTAAGACGATTGTAAAACTTTGTCTTGGTAATGTTTATGACACTACCTCCTCTCTCTGGCCAGGCATTGCTGCAGGGTAAGCAAAGCCCGACTTCAGCCACAAACAATAGCTCCTCAAAGATAGAGGGGTGGAAAATGCCTTTGTTTTTAAGAAAGAAGGACGTGAAGAAAGTGCTGCTCTGGCTTCCAGCTGGGATTTGCAATTTTCTTCCAGAGAGAAAAAACTTGACTTGAGACCACTGGCAAAGCAACTTCGTCTTCTTATCTTCATCACTTGGCAAAAAATGATTGGAAAGTATCTTCACTTCAGCATCCCCATATTCCTTGAAGATGTCATCATCACTTGGTGGTAGCAGAAGGGGATCAAAGATGGCATAGGCTTTAATAACCTTTGGAGAACTTCCAAGGCGATCTTTTATGTTGGTTGACAGGGCATCAACATATGTGGCCAGGAGGGTTTCCAGCTTTCCAGTATCTTTGTCAAGCTTCAGGTCATCTGAGATTTCTGTGAAGGAGTTGATGTCTGCCTGTAGTTTTTCTAAAGGTTGGTTGGTCGTCTTCAAATCTGTTAGGGCTGAGATGGCTCAATTTACAGCTGGTCTTATCATCAAAAAGTGAAAATTACCAGCTTGAAACTGTTTTGACAGACATGAAAGAACGGGCAGGACAGCATTAAGAATGTAAAAGGCCCCAAGAAATTTTACTGTCTTGAGTTTGCTTATAAACCCAATGGCTGTAGCATCATCTATCTCTTGCAAGGACAAAAGGATAGCTTCATAGCTCTGCAAGGCTGCAGTGACAGATGCATCAAAACTGAGCCACCTTGTCTGGCATGCCTCCTTTAGCCATTTCGCTAAGATTTTTTCAGTTTTGTCAGTGCCCTTGCAAAACAAATCTGGAATATTCTAGGAATTTCTAGAATTTTTCTAGGAATATTACAGAAATAATCTCTAGAAATTCTAGAATTTATCAGTTTTCTTTTCTGGAAAATTCTAGAAAAAGCTAGAAGTTAATGAAACATGCTAATTAGGGTGGAAATGCCAGCTTTATTCCAGAAATCATAATTCGGGATCAAGTAAGATTTTTCCAGCTTTTTCCAGGTTATTACAAATGCTGCTTTCTAGATTTTTCTAGAAAATTCTTGCATTCCTTTAATGAAAGCAGGCAGAGATAATGTATTCATTTCCAGTTTTTTCTAGGATATTCCAGTTTTCAGGATTTTTCTG